TGATGTGCTAGAGTAGAGTAAATTGATGAATATTTCAAAAGTAAAATTGAGATGTAGCTCCTTCCCTCTCTGGAAAGAGTTGTTATCTGAGAAGACACTGCAGTTGATTTTGAGTCAGGGAAGCCGTTTCCTCGTGGAGGTGACCCTAATTTTATGTATTGGTAGGTTTGTTTGAAAATGATCACTTGTTAGAGTCATTGACACACATAAATGAACAAAAGATGTTCATTTAGAAACTGGATGTTTCTAAAACTTGCTTGCCAGAAGAGCTTAACTCCTAAAGAGAGGGCTGTAGGGCTGAACAGTTTTAAAAACTTTTAAAAATGGTAGAATCATAGACTTGTTAGAGCTGAAAGGAACCTCAAGGACCCATTAGTCTATTGCAGTTTTATAAATGAAGTAAAATTAATCTAGTAAAGTGGTTTCTAAATACTGGTACTTGAGAAAGTTTTCACCAGTTTGAGGCAAAATGAGAAAAATACAGCCATAGTGAGTTTTTCGTAAAGCTGTGTGTATTCAGTTTAAAAACCTATCTTTTGTTCTGAAAGTATATATTTTCTGTATTTTGGGGGTTAATATATCTGTTGATGGCTGTCTTTTTTTTTTTTTTTAAACTATCTTTATGTTATGAAATAAAAATTTGACAACCCTGTATCTGTCCCCCAGTTTGGGGAATAGCAGTATATTTTACTATTTCTTGAAATACAAAAGTCTAGTTGTTATTGTTAGCTGCCCTCGAGTAGGCCCTATGCACAACAGAACTAAGTGCTGCCTGGTCCTGTGCCATCCTTGTGATCCAGTTGCAGATCAAACTGTTATGATCCATAGGATTTTCACATCACCAGGCGTTTCTACCTAGTCTGTCTTAGTCTGGAAGCTCCGCTAAGAGTCTGTTTATCTGCCTTATAGCCTGATAGATCTAGACTAGATAGAATCCAGGAGGAAGAGAGCTGATCCTCCCCGGGCTGGGATCTTGTCTTAAAGAGAGGTCAGCTAAAAATGGCTCAGGTCTTTGTGGAGAGCTTTTATTCTTTCTGCAGCTGTCCTCATTTAATTAGCAGACTCGCTGCTGCTGTGACTTTGGGGAAGTCTCTTGAGAGGCCAGGCCACGTGGTGTTCCAGAGCTGGGGCCACTGTTCACAAATAGAGCCTTAGAGCACTGATCGCAAAACTTGGCTGCACGCTGGAATCACCTGGAGAGCTTTTAAAAGTCCTAATGCCCCGGTTGCACCCTATACTAATTAAATCAGAATGCCTGGGGATGGAAGCCAGGCACCTTTTTGTCATTGTTGTTGAGGATATACACAGCAAAAGATAAACTAATTGAACAGTTTCTACGTGTACAATTCAGTGACATGGACTACATTCTTCGAGTTGTGCAATATTCTCATCCTCCTTTTCTGAGTTAGTCCTCCCCCATTAACATAAACTTACTGCCCCCTAAGGTTCCCATCTAATCTTTCAAGTTACTGTTGTCAATTTGATCCCATATAGATAGTTCTTAAAAGAGCGTAATGCTCAAGGCAGACATTTTTTACTAGTTAAGCTAACCTATTCGGTTTTAAGAAGACTTCAGAGGATATTTTTGGTCTAAGGTTTAAAGATTATCTCAGGGCAGTAGTTTCAGGGTTTCATCCAGCCTCCATGGCTCCAGATAGGTACCATGGAGTCCATGAGAATTTTAGGTTCTGTTCTGCGTTTTCCCCAGGCATCAGTATTTTTTATAAACCCCCAGATGAATCCAGTGCACAACAATGTTTGGGAACATCTGTCTGAGTTTACTAGGCAGAGGTTCCAGGCATGAAAGAAGTACTGCCCAGAAGCATATCCTTTCCAGTAAATAGATGGTATAATCCACTGGGTCTTGTTTTGGTAGTGACTGTTGCCCTGCTGGTTCTGACAGTTCATCACAAAAGAATTGTGAGCTGACACCCATTTGCAGGGACACAGAACAGAAAAGGCCCTGTAACTTGCAAAACAAATTATCAGATTAACTCAAGATCCATAAAGATGGAAGTCAGGTTATGAGGCTCTATCACATTTGATACTTCCTCCTGATTCTCTGCATAAAAATTCAGGTTAAGAGATGGTCCTGCCAGCCGCTCTTGAGATAGACATTTACAAATAGCATTTACATACATATTAACTCTGATACAAAATCAAGGATTAGTCTATGAATAATTGGATAAGTGACTAAGAAGACAGATACCATCAGGCACTTCCATTTTTATTTCTCTCTGTCTCTGAATATTGTGCCCAAACCCATCCTCTCTCCTTCCCCTCCTCGCTTCAAGGACCCTGCCTCCTCCGAGATCAGCCACTTTGTCCTGTGTCCATTATCTCCTGTCAGCTTTTGGCTTTTGCTTCCTCAGTTACCCTCCATGCTGGCCTTCTTCCCTCCCTACTTAATTCATGCACCGGAGCCTGTAATCCTAAACGGCCTTCATTTGACCCTGGTGCCCATCCCCTCCACATGGGGTGTCATTTCTCTCCTCCTGTTAACCAGGAGTTACGCTGTTGTCGGGCCTTTCTCCTGCCTGCTCTACCTTCACCCCCACCATCTGATTTCTTTCTTCTCTGTGGTGTGGGAAATACTCCTGAAGGCCACCAGTGACTCCTTTACCAGTAGTCTCACTCTCCTTGACCTCCTGCAGTGTTTGATACTGCTGACCTTCCCTTTATTTGTGAAACTCTTCTCTCCTAGTTTCTGTGATGGTACAGTTGTCTGGTTCTTCTCCTTTTGTCTCTTTCTTCCTTTGGTCCCGTACTAGTTTCCTTCTTCTCTCAATCGCTGTCTGCAGTTTGGTCCTTTTCTTTCTCCATCTGTATTCTCTTATCCAGTCTCAGAACTCCCTCTCCAGTTCTGACCTTTCTCTTGACCTTCACTCTTCCATTTCAGTCTTTCTGATGGACTCTTCAAAAGGCATTGTTATAAAATGGAATTTGTCCTCTCTCTCCTTCCCCTACCTGTAACTCACCTCTTTCCCACCTGGTCCATCTCCACTCCTGGTGTTACTGTTCTTCAGGTCACTCCAAGCAGACCTCTGTTGTGATTATTGGCTCCCCCTCTCTCTCCTTTACACGTCTTTCTCTCTAGTGGTTCACCAAGGTATACTGATTCCTCATTCATAGCGTCTCATAGCAGTCTCTTTCCAGTCCCATGACTACCACCCAGGTAAGTCTAGACTTTATCTTCCTGACCTCTTAGCCTGTCATTCAAGGAGCTCCAGCTCCAGATCAGCCAGCTCACCAAGCTGCCTTTCCAAATCAGTCTCCTACTTATTTCCTGTGCAAACCCAGAGAGACTGCAGTCTGCTGTCCCCCGCCTCTGGCCTTACTTCACACCATTCCCTTCCCTTGGATCAGCTAATCCTACTCATCCTCAGAGTTTACTTCATCTATGACATTTATCTTTAATTATAAGAACAGGAAATACATATTTTTTTCTCTGAATGCCTTAGATTCATGTTGTCTTTTTCTTCATGTAGAACTTTTGCTTACTGCCTTGTGCCATTGGGTGTCATGTGCTGTTTTGTACCCACTGCATTGTAAGCTCTTGAAGGGAAGGGCTGTCTTCTCCCAAGGCTCCCACAGCCTCTACTGTAGGACCCTGCGTGCTAGGGAGTTTCAGCACCTGTTTGTGGGCCGATTTTATATAATGGATGGAGTTTAAAAATTTTTTTTATAGCAAGAGAATTGTTTAGGGACTAATAAAGCCAGTATTTCCATTGAGAGAAGGACAGCCTAAAAGAGACAACAGATGGTCTTCTGAAGAAGTGATTTGAGAAAAGTCTTGGGAATTTAATATAGAATAATTTAACAGGGAGAGATCAAAATAATAGGAAGTAAATATTCAGGAAAGTGTATCTGTGGTTGGTGTGGTGTAGCGTGTTGGTTAGGAGCTTGTTCTCTGGTTACTTAATCCTTCTGAGCCCCACTCCCCTGATTTATAAGAGGGGAATAATTGTGTCTGCTTCATAGAGGTGTTATAAGCATTAAATGAATTAATACTGTAACATGTTAGCACAGTTCCTATTCAATAAAAGGTAGCTTAAGTTTTGTTCACCCATTGTAGAGGATCCACAGTAGAGGTGCTCTCCCACTGGAGAGGCAGTTATAGGGAATGTCGACAAGAGCCTTTCTGACCCTTGGCTTGGAAATCTAGACGTGAAACTCACTTTTCTGGGTATTCCAGTAGCCTAGAAAATGTATATTGAGCACCTACCATGAAGGGGTTATGGTGGACCCTGGGAGTATATAGGGATGAATAAGGCCCAGTGTATCCCCCAGAAGAATAAAGGTGAAGGAGAAGAAGTTGTAGATAAGCTAGAAAAAGGGAAGACGAGGGAAAACCTTGGGGAGGAGAGGGGAGTTTGGTCCTGTTGGAAGGAGACTTTCTCAAGGTGCTTTCCAAGACAGTGAGGAGACAGTCCCATGGCGTTGAGGGGCCTCTGGGGAGTCTGGATTACAAGGATTGGCTGAGAGAGGTCTACTCAGTTGGTCAGGACACTATGTCAATAGGATGGGAGTGGGTACTGTCCCTGGAGCCAGTTTACTTCTCTCTATTCCTTGGCCACAAATCCTACTGACTCTTGACCCTGACTCTGCCCCGACTCTGGCTTCTGCAGGACAGCTCAGGTGACCATCACCGAGCATCTCCTCAGGGTTTATCCCCCTGATGAAGCTAGAGCACCACCTTTTTATTACTGGGAGGACTCCTGAATTCCAAGACCTAAGAATGTTGGGAAAATATTAAGTGGACTTGAACAGAAATTCAGTTTCACACTTTTATATCATCTCTGCATATCCAGTTTTCATATTTAAGGTGAATTAGCCCACTCCTCTGTCTAAATGAGAAAACATTTTCTGAGGTTTTACCTCCATGGGATTGTTAGGGAAGGAATTTAGGCAACAATCTGAGGAAAGATCAAATCTTCTATAGAGTTTGCAGATAGGTTCAGGTAACTGGACTGAAAATACTCCTGTTTTTCTTTCCACAGGGGAAAGTAGAAGTAGAAGCTGGGAAAGAAGGTATGAAGTTTGAAGCGAGTGCTTTTTCATACTATGGTGTAATGGCCCTTACAGCCTCTCCAGGTGAGTTTCTTTCTCAGCCTTTTGAGGCAGGGCTCTGTTTTTGGAAGTAATGCCCTCATCTTTCCCTCTGTACCTGCCAGTTAACCTTAGTTATTTATATTTTGAACTTTTAATTGAAGTATAACATATATACAAAAAAACTACACAAATCATAAGTATACACATCTCTGTGAATTTTCACAAGCTGAACACACCTGTGTAAACCAACACCCAGATCAAGAGACATAACATTACCAGCCCCCAACCCCTGGTACCCCTTCATACTCCATTCTAGCTACCACCCCCCAGAAGTAACCACTATCCTGACTTCTAAGCAGCGAATAGTTCTGCCTATTTGAGAGCTTCTTATAAATGGAATGACACAGTATGTATTATATTGAGTCTGGCTTCCTTCACTCAACATTATGCTGTGACATTCATCTGTATTGTGTGTGATTGTAATTCATTTTATCTCACTGCTCCGTAGGATTCCATTGTGTCGCTATCCCACAAACCATTTATCCTTTTTATTGTTGATGGATATTTGGGTAGTTTCCTGTTTAGGGCTATTATCAATAGTGTTGCTATGAACATTTTTGTATGTGTCTTTTGGTGGACACGTGCATTTTTACTGGGCATACACCTTGGGATGGAATTGCTGGATCATAAGGTGTGTGTATGTTCAGCTTTAGTAGATATGGCCCAGCAGTTTTCCAAAGTGGTGTTACCAGTTTACACTCCTACCTATACTGTATGAGAGTTCCAGTTACTGTACATTCAACACTTGGTAATATTGAGTCTTTTAAATGTTAGTTATCCTGGAGGTTTAAATTTGCATATTCCTGAGGATGAATGAGGTTGTTACCATAGATTTACTGCCTACAGCCAGCTCTTTTTATCTGGAAAGTGGGCCAGCTCAGGATGAGTATGCCATGCAGCATTTGACTAAGTTCCTTGAGCACAAGATCCTAAGATGCCAGCAAGCAGTGTGTGTCCTTGAAGGAACACGAACGCAGATCCCTGATGTATGCTGTCTCACCTCTGGGAATGGGACTCAAGTGGCCCTTCTTTGCATTGCTTGCTTTATGGTGTGCGTTTGCTACCTTTCCAAAGCTGGAACCCGTCAGGCAGGTAAACAGATGCTGGAGTGCCACCTTGTGGCCAGAACACCAAATGACATGCCATGCTAGGAAATGTTTTTTACAAACCTCAAACGTATAAATAGCCCATCCTAAAAAAAATGCGGTCACTTCTGAAAACCAGTCTCTGAAGGGGGTGGGGATGCCTCCAGACAAATGCATTTTGTGACATCAGTCCTCATCTCCTGCACCACACAGCAGTCTCAGGCACCCAAGAATATTACAGTTAGAAAACCAGGGAAGTGTCAAGAATTTTCAAATATTTCTAAACCTCCCTTGCCTCAGATGCCTCTTCTGTGGTGCAGGTTTTGAGTCATGTGGGCACAGTGCCTCCATTACCAACTGCTGACTAACACCCAGCATGAACAGGGGCCTGTCTAACCGACTCCAGTGGTAGGTTTCTGTATAGGCTTGAAGGTGATCTTCCATTTTCACCACTTAATGAGGGAGACAGGATGATTCTTAACTAGGCAGGAGAAGACCTGGGTTAGAGCCTTAGCCCCATCCCATACGGTTGTATGACTTTGAGGAAGACCCTTGGTTTCCTCACTATTAGGAAGATATAATAATACTCCTTCATGTGATTGTTAGAAGAGTAGACTGTAGTAATGCCGAATTTCATGAGTGCTTCACCACCTTTCAAGCATAAAGCGAAGTGTTGGTATACTAGTCAGGTGTTGTAGTTCTGACTGTTGTTTGGCAACCAACCTCAAATTAGCCTCAGTTTAGCAGAACCAGATTTAGAAGGTGGCTTTAAAAAGAAAGCTAGAAGAGTAGTACATTTTTTATTTTAGATTTTTGAAACCTAAATATTAGTTCATATTGAAATATAGATTCATATAATGACAGGTCCCAGTCAGAAAAGGAACCAAAGAGCAGTCCTTCATATAGCAAGCCTGTGGGGCTGCAGCAGGCTCACCTAGCTTGGAAATCCTGGGAAGGGAGTTTCATTAATAACATCTGATGTATTACAAAGCCTAGTATTTTACTTGATTGTACAACCAGGATTTAGGATTTTGTATATTCACTGAGAGATGCAATTAGTACATGAACCTAAAGATAATGTTTTTATTTATTAATATTAGTAGTGTAGAGAAAACCTACCGTAGTCATTTCTCCAGATCTGCCCAGAAAGTATGACTTCTGCCCAGTAGGACAATGTTAGTGGGATGTTTCAATCAGATGGAGCTTCATGCTCCCTGTCTGAGTACTCAGTGGTAGGGATGACGCTGGTCTAACATTCTCAGGAATTCTGTGTATGGCAGTCTGTATTTACTGTCTCTATTTTGAAATTTCAAAGCATTCCAAAGCAATTCAAGGTATTGGGTCAAAATTACAATGGGACTAATTAAAAATTAAAATGAGTTGAATAACTAGTTGCTTGCCACAAATAGGGACCTGTGCCCTGAATGAGTATTGGGATGCTGGCCCTGGTGACTTGGATCATACTCTTATGGCAGATGGTAAATCAAGCTCCCCTTCTGTGTGGCTATTTGTGATTTAAGTCCTTAAGAATTGAATGTTTTGACGAATAAACCCCAATTGCTTACTAATGGCTTAAGAGATTTCTAGGTTAGTAAAGAAGCATGTGAACAGAATGTATTCATCATCGACATCCCTGTATTCATCTTCCTGGAAAGCAGTGTGTATTTCTTTTTTTGTTTACATAGTATCATATAGCCTCTTGCATTTCTGGAATTGAACACTCATATTGGCAGAACAGGTGTCCACTCCTCTCTCCTGATGACAGAGATCTCCTCTCTTGCCTTTTGATACAGTCTCACCCTGTTTTTCTCCATTTTCAGTTCCTTTGTCCCTGTCTCGTACCTTTGTTGTCAGCAGAACAGAATTGTTAGCAGCAGGTTCTCCAGGTAATTCTGCATGTTTCCTTTTCATAATTCTCCCGATTGCCTTGCCCTTGACTCCATAAAAGCCTGCTGGCCAGGTCTGCTCCCTTTATTTGGACAAGGCCATGTTCAGTTTTCCTTTGAGTTGTAAAACCCCAGGGCTCTATGACTTTTAACAGTGAGCTATCTAGGAAAGCATACGCCCATTGCAGATGAAGAAAGAGTTCAGGAGGCTGGAAGGGAATTTTGGAACATGAACAGCAATGAAAAATGGAAAGGGAGAGTGGGTTCTGGAGTGGACCATCAGTGTTCTCTGCCCATCCTGCCCCCACCGCTGGCCTGGAAGTCTCAGGACAGCAGAGGAGGACTGCTGTTTGTCCTGGCTCTGACCTCAGCAGAGCCGTGGCATTTGGAGTGTGCAGAGACCTCACACCTTCTGCAGAGCTCATTCAGCCCAAAACCTGAAGCGACATGAACTTTTCTTGGTACACAAGGGAAGTACACCATCCACCCTCAGAGGCCCACACTCTTCCTGACTCTTTGATCCTTTTTCCAGCATCCATGTCAATGTGAGCAAGCATTTCTGTGCTCCGGCAGGCAGGTGGCCCCGGCTTCTCCCTGTCTCCCTCTCTTTGTTTTGAAATTAGTACTGTGCACATTCCTAACCAGCCGCTGATTATTTCCCAGCAGGAAGGTTGGTCATGCCCAGCTAATATGTCCAGCTGTTAAAAAGAAAGAAAAAGGTTTAATCTTTCTTTAATTAAAAGTGCTGGGCTTTCCTATTTGGTAGTGCAATGTTTCTGTATTTATTTTGTTCCGCATAGCTTGTATTTTTAAATCTGACTGATGAAATTTGTATTTCATAATCCAGTTTCAGCAAAACTCTAAAATGCTGATAGGTGAAGGAGGCAATGCTTGTCTTAGAAAGAAGTTAATGTTCCCTCAAATGTTTGCTTTTAAAAAGTTTGACTTGTTTGGGGGTAAGATATTATTCATAGAGCTATTTGAATCAAACAAGCTGGCAGAATATGTATGTATGTACCCTGGTAGTGCAGTGATTAAGTGCTTGGCTGCTAACCAAAAGGTTGGCAGTTCAAACCCTGCTAGCAGCTCCATGGGAGAAAGACCTGGCAATCTGCTTCCATAAAGATTACAGCCTACGAAACCGTATGGGGCAGTTCTACTCTGTCCTGCGGGGTCACTATGAGTCAGAATCGACTCGACAGCACATGAACAACACAACATATGTATATTTATGTATAAACAACTATACACATACACGCATATATACATATATGTGTGCATGTATGTATGTGTGTTTGTATTTTATTGTCCTCACCCTATTTGCTTTCATCTGCTGCCCATTTAAAATGTAAAAAATGAGGAAGTAGAGTGGCTTTCAGGTGAAGCTCATGGAAATGCTATTTGTGTTTTACCTTTTCTGTAGAACTTAGAGATGTCTTAGCTCTGCCCAGTCCATCTGACCCAGTAATAGAAAAATCCATTTTGAGGGGCCAGGACCTCAGGGATACAATATACGATACCTAATAAATGGGGGTTGAACTAAACCAGTGATTTCTAGCCTATTCCAAAACATGCCTTGTGGTTCTAAGGGAGGAGGCTGGGAATATTTCTTTATTGTATCTTTCTAGCTTACTAGCAAAAAGAAAGAACTCCTAGGCAGGATGGATAAAATAAGCCAAGACAAAAAGCAGAAAGAAAAAAACTCTGAGAAGGCAGAGGAGGTATCAAAATTGAAAGCTTTTTCATCGTTACTGTCATAAAACTTCGGCACAAAACTTGGCGACAGAACACGATCTGCTGTAGAGGGAGGCCACTCAGAGTCTTTATTCCTCTTGGTGTGAATCTCACTGCATTTGAACGTATTGCGTTGCAGCGAGGCTGCCCCAGACCTCGCTGGGCAGTTTCTGTGCTATGGGCTATACCGACCATGTTACCTTTCTAAAATTCAAACTATTTCTGGCCCCCAAGGGTTTTAGATAAAGGATGTGGACCTGTAGTATTCTCATTTTCATCATATTATCGTTACTGAATTTGAGTCGTGAACCGAAACCAGGGGTTATGTCAGAGAAGGGCCAACTCAGCTGTGGAAGTATCCTGAAGCGCAGGGTTGACGTCTCCAGGCCGTGGCTGTGACGCCAGGCATATGGGTTCTTGGCACAGGGGAGAGCCCATCTCCGAAGAACAGAGGGCAGTAGGTGGAGAGGAGACTATGAGCCTCACAGGAGAAAATATCAGGAGAAATACTGCTTGAGGCCTCAGATACCTACCTCCCAACACACAGGGTCTCATCAATAAGCAAAGTGCCCTTTAAATGTTTTGTTTTTATAATTTTTATCAATTTTAACATGCAGAAGTAAATATCACTTCAAAGATATCTATAAAAATGGTGATGGGGTTTGTGGCTACAGCCCAAGGGTATAGTGGGGTCCCTTGTTTCAAAGAACTGATCAATTTGTCATCCTGAGTGAAGTTATCACGGTGTGGAAAGGCTTGGTCATGAGGGTAAACTCGTGGTGGAGAGGTTTGGGGTGAAGTCCAAAGGAAAGAAATAATAATATCAACAAGGCTTATTTATTAAGAACTTATTGGGTGTCAGATGCTGTGCTAAACACTTTATGCATTATCTCAGTATTAATCCTCATCAAATCTTATGAGGTAAGTACTATTATTGCCTTCATTTTACAGATAAGGAATTTGTAACTTAGCATAGTTGGGTAATCTGTTCAAAATTTCATTCTGCTAAACATAAAATATCTGATAAACTATTAATTTGCCTGTTCTCTTAGAAGATAAGTGATAGCAACTAGAGGAACTGCTAGTCTGAATTTAATTTTGAGTGACAATGGAAAATTGGTTCACGACATGAGAACTGTAGGGAGAATTGTGGCATGAAAATTTAGGAGAATGTGAACTAGTGATCTGAGATTCCGGGAGGGTTTATCATGTTTTGCTCTGGATGCTGTCTTTGAAGAGGGACATTTACCACATGGAATCTAAGAGGATGATCGGAATGGGATGAGGGGTTGGTAAAACATTTGAGGGAAGAACAGCTGGAAGTATTTAGCCTGGAGAAGAAGATATTTAAGATTACCATCTTCAAGTCTTTAAGGGCTAGAGGAATGTGAGTTTCTCAGAAGAGCTCTGTAGAGTGGCGCTGAGATGATCATTGGAAGTTAGGCAGGTTTTTGTTGGACATGATGACAGAGTTTCCAGAAGTTGAAGGGTAGGACCAGCCGAGGGCCAGCTCCTCTGTGGAAGTATCTGTCAGGGACACACTGCAAAGAGGAGCCAACCATCAGATGGAGAATTGGTCCCCTCCAATCTTGTGACATTATGCAGTTCAAGACCAGTTCATATTTGTGCAGTAGATTTGGTTGGAAAATAAAAAATGGAAGACTGCTTGGTAAGGAGGTGGGTTTCATTTGTAGTGAACTTTATGTTAGATGTGTTGTTCTCTTTAAGAGCAACAACATTAGACTCACGTGAATTTCCTTTCACATTATTTCAATGAAGGAGTACTATTGAAATCTCATTGAAGAATCTCACAGCACCTAAGGTAACTGTGAAACTCTTAAAGGGGTTGGTGTCTCGTAGTGTTCTTGAAATCCTAAGGCACCCTCAGACTGCCTGACAGGGATATTTTATTAGGGTCAAAGACAAAGCTAATAGGTTTGGCTGGGGGGTGTGGTGTCAGTGGTCAGAAATAGGTTGATCCGTTAAAAACAGGTGCTGATTTATGAACATTCTCGAGAGTCCTTTGCTTTTGCTTCTGACAAAATAATGAAGTGCTGCCTTCTCATAGCCCATGTTTTATATTAAGTAGCTTCTGTATCTTGGACCTTATCCTCATCTATGCATTTCTTAACACTCAGCAATGTTCCTAAAGTCGATATACAGCCACAGGTGCTGTGCTATTAGAAACTTGGGAAGTCTTGTATCTGTTCAGACAAATAGGACCAAACAGCTGAAGTAAATGTAGCCTGTCACTGAAGAGAAATTATGGAGCTGTATGACTGAGGCATCTGGGCTAAGTTAATTGGGCTTGTGCATCAATTTCTGTTTTTCATTTGGAAAATAAAGAGCTCACTTTGTTGACTGTATCTACTTCACTTAATAGGTTGTGGGGTTTTTTGTTGTTGTTGTTCCCTCCTTTCCAGGTGAAAATAAGTCACCTCCTCGCCCATGTGGCTTGAATCACTCAGACTCTCTCAGTCGAAGTGACCGGATTGATGCTATAACACCAACGTTAGGCAGCAGCAACAACCAGCTCAATTCTTCATTCCTTCAAGTCTACATCCCTGATTACTCAGTGCGAGCCCTTTCAGACCTTCAGTTTGTTAAGGTAAGAGAAGAGAGGGTGGACCTGGCAACTAGATGCTGACTTCCACTGCCCTCCATCAAGCTTTCCCTTTGTCATTTTGGGGGTGCCCTGCCTTCAGTTCACATCCATAAGCCCCACCTCTAGCTACTATGCCTAAGACTCAGGTTGGGAAGAAATGTTTATCTTGCTGGCTCTATCAAGTAAGTTCTCAAATCAAATGTGGCTTTTTCAGGAAATGAGAGCTGGAGATGGAGAGGAAAAAAGTAAACTTTTTTCAAAGAATTTTCATGAGCTTACTACCCTAGTGACTTTCTGGTTGGCCCTGAAAGGGCTGAGGCCAGGAGGCTCAGAAGAGTCACTGAGGCTGGCCCCACCTCCTGAGATGGGATGGGAAGAACCCTCCTCTTATCTTCTGTCCTAGAGACAAGGACTCTTTTCTTAGTCTAAAATAAGGATAGTTTTTAGAGAATGATCCAGCTTTAGCTGATGGGAGCCTAATCACCACTTGCTAGTCCTTCTGAAATTTTGAGAGAAAATTTGGGAATGGGCTTGTATCAGTAAGAACCCACTTGTTTGCCAGAGTCAACTTGAACTTTACAAAGTGGCTCGGTTTGTACTCAAGGATGGTTTCCGTCTAGAGAAACTGCTGGGGGTCATTCCAGGGGATTTGATGTGTAACACAGTATAGAGACAAGAGAACCTAAAAATAAGCATTATCTTGGTTTCTTCTCCATGCCGTCTTCTGGCCCCAGATCTCCAGACAGCAATACCAAAATGCCTTGATGGCATCCCGGATGGACAAAACTCCTCAGTCTTCAGACAGTGAAAATACTAAAATTGAATTGACTCTTACGGAGCTGCACGACGGGTTGCCAGATGAGACGGCCAACCTGCTCAATGAACAGAACTGCGTGTCGCACAATAAAGCCAATCACAGCCTGCACAACGAGGGCACCATCTAGAGGTGCCCACCCGCCTGGCCCTTTAACCCCCAGCCTGAGGCCCTGGTCCCAGTGGGCTCAGCCTTCTGTCTGACTATGACTACCATTAGTGTGAGCTTGTATGCCATGCTGCCTCCTGCAACATTCCAAGACCAAAGACTTTGTCCCCTTCCCGGAAGCAGCCGAGGAAGACGGTGAGGGGAAGAATGGCAAATAGAGATGTGAAACTGACAGCTAGGGCATGGCATTCAAAATTTTGGAGATGAACTTCCTCCTCCCAAATAGAATCATGTTTATTTTTTCAGCTATACCTTCTATCATTATTCACTCTCGGTCTTCTTCAATTTGCATGAAGTTCAAAATCGTTGCGATTTATTTTTTCAAGAGATCATGTTTTCTAAAAGCATATTTTGCAGAGTTTTAAGTCGTTCTGTCTGAACTCTGCTGTGATCCCATGATGTGACCCTAATAGGATGGACTTGCCCCTCAAGTGGCCTTCCTTGGCTCCCCCAGGGAGGGGTACCCTTCCTCTGTGCCCCAGTGGGTCTCACTGTCAAACTTGAAGGATGAATGAAGAAAACCTTGTTAACGCAGAACCTGCCAAGCCTGTCATCACTGGGGTGTCACCTGCAGAGGGGCCTGCAGTCGCCTCTCTGAGCTCAGTGTTGTTTTCAGAATTTAAGGTTATTTATGCCCCTTTCCCTCAGGAATGCTTGACATTTGCTTGGGAATGTGATTTTTGCTCCCATTCTATGGAATTTTTATCACCAAAATGAATTTTAATGAATTTTAAATCCATGGTTTATCATTGGCAAGAGGGGAGTTGACTCCATCCTGACATTCCTCCTGGGATCTCCGGCCTAGCTGCCCTCCTCCCCCAACCTGTGCCCAGGCTTACAGAGCGTCACCCACCTCCCAGGGCCTTGCTCTTGTTACCCCAAGATGCTGCTACACAGATGCCAAATGGAAATCTTCCACAGGGCTTTTCAGTAAGCGTGTGATGTGGAGTCCAAGCTCATCCCCCGCACTGGGACATACGTAACTATCAGAACAGGAGTTGGACTTTCCAGTTGTGTTCTTTACTCTGGGCCAACCAGGCAGTCCTAGACCCGGATTTTTAAAGAAGGGGACTTTGGGGACGCCAGCCCCTGCCCCTCATTCCAGGGACCCAACGGTCCTTCTTCCCCCATCTCCCTCCCTGTGGGGCCCAGTGGTGGCTGTGTCCCCTGCTGAGGGCCCCCGTGCCTCCTCCCTCACATGCGGCCTACGCCAGAGAGGCTGCCTGTACAGCCAGGGCCAGTTTGGCCCCAAACAGGGATTCAGAAACCAAATGTGTGTTGTGGCCATTTTATGTGTGTCTCCGTCTTATTTTAATACCAAATTCACCATGTGTAGTGAGCTTAATGTCAGGAGGTGTTTCTTCAGTGACTGAGTTCTTAACTAATCTGTTTTTAAGTGTTAGCCCAAGGGATGTGTATGCATTTTGTTGGCACTTTTCATACATTGAAATGAGTCCATCCTGACCACAGTTTTCATACAGAATATCAGTACACACTGCGTCCAATCACTAGCAGCGAAGACAGCATTCTCTCCATTTGGTCTTACTGAATGAAGTGAAGCACTGGGGGTGAGCAGCAATTCTCTTCTCCCTCCTTAGTGTAGGATGTCTGTTCACCCAGGTTGGTGGATTGGGCCTGGGCGTTGTGTGGGTAGGGAGCTGTGGTTGGAAGGAGACAGCAGAACGCTGGACTGGCTTCCTGGTGAGCAGTTTGATGGCTCCCGTGTCATAAGCACGCTTGGCTCAGTATTTCCTCTGGGATGTCAGTCCTCGAGCGTCTTTCTCTGAAGGTGCCATGTTCTTTAGCGAGGGGAGTATTGCATCACTTGACAGCAGGGCGTGGGGAGTGCCCCTTGAGGGAGCTGAGTGGCCTGCTGCTGGCACCCAACCTGCCACCGTGGGATGGAGCACCCCACGGTGTAGCTTGACATTAGTGAGACCTTGCACCATGAACATCCGTTTTTGTGAACAGATCCATCCAAGTTAAAAGGTCTCAGTTTCTTAAGATGCACCTGGCTGAGCAGAGCTCCGGTGACGTAGGAACCAGAACAACCTGCAGGAGCGTGCAGAAGGGAGGTTTCCCTGTAACAAACATGGGCCCTGACCAGGTACGGGCTTCTTTCCCAACAGTACGCCACCCTCCTGGCCCAGGCAGTGCCTGCCTTCCCCATGACCTGGGTGGAACCAAGCCTGCCAGGCCGTGGCTCTTCTGACACCAAGAGCTGCTCCACCAGCTTCTCCAGGCCTGTTTCTGCTCGTCCACACACAGCCCGTCTCGGAGCTGCCTTCTGTGGCGGGGCCTCTGGAGCCAAATTAATGTGTTGATGATCTTTTTCAGAGCCCCACACCTCTTTCACACCTCTTTATGAATCCTAAACAACTGGGAGAGCCAGGGAGTGGAGGGAGGATGCCAGCTTCTGCCCCCTTGATTTGGGAGAGAAATTGATAACTTCTTAATACTGTCTTATCTGCTCAATGTGGTAGCTGCTTGAAGAGTATTCTTTTATAAAGGAGTTGATGGGATGGCTCTGCGGTGGGGCTCCCAGAAGATGAATTTTATCCTTCTAAGTTTGTATTCACTTTCTGTAAACTACTCTTTACCTTTGATTATTCACACTTTTCTGTCACAACAGGGAATCCAAAATCATTTCTGTTTGGTCTCTGAAGGAATGAAGGCTTACATTTGACTGTAGTTGTATCTGATTGGAGGAGAGCTCAAAGAGCTTCAAATAGCTTATGTCTGAGAGAACAGGTTCCTCTTCCCAGCCCTACTTCCCCTCCGGAAACTGACCTCTCAGGCTGTTAAGGGAGAAATGCTGGCTTATTGCTTCTCTGGCGCAGCAGGGGAATTATTCTGGCTTAGAAGGCCTAATGCAGTTCATGTCTGTAAAGTAGGTGGGAGTTGGGCAGACAGAGACTGTCGAGTGGCTGAAATCTCAGTGTGCAATGCTCCTCTCCTAAGGCTGCTGTTTTTTCAGGCATGGAAGGGAGTAGGGGCCCTGAAGCCCTGAACCCCAGCGGAGCCCTCACTGTGACTCTTGGGCTCCACCGTGACGCCCAGCTCTGTGACAGGCAAGAGCTTCCTATTGCTCTGAAGCAGCCACGGGCACCCCTGAGGCTCCACCTGGAGCTGGTTCCTAGTTGCCAAAGGTTCCCAGGACACTGCCTCCTCAGTAAATGGGGGGCTTTGTCCATTTTCCCCGTTCCAGATTCATCAGGCAAGAACGAAATCATAGATTTCGACTGTTGGGAAAAACAGAACCTTCGGATTTGTACATGGATATTGGGGTGCTAATCAAGTAGTTTAAACCTTGGTTCTTCACTGGTTTAGGTTGGAAAGGGCACCACATTTAACCGTGTTCTTCCCGCCTCCTCACCTTGCTTCCTGCAGAGCGCTCCATGCCTGGCAGGGCTGCTTGGCTTCCCCAATTGGGAGGCAATAGGGCTTCTTGCCATTTTCTAATGTTATTTCAAGGAACTTATTTTGAAAACATGGAATGCAGAATTTCACACTAATATGGAACATTAACTGTGAAAATACTTACCTGTGCTATTCCATTCAGTACCGTACAACTAATGGACCAGCTTTTCCAAGTCTAAGAAGATAGTGATAGACACAAGAAGAATTGCATTTCCCTAGGAAATGAAGCAACAGGAATTTGAGCTAAGCAGGGACCATGAACTTCTGCCCTCAGATTCTCTCCTCAGGTTGAGGAGCAGACAAGTAGGCCCCTGGCTGATTGAGCCTGTGTCCTGACTGGTTAAAACAAACAAACCTTCTGAAGACCAGCCAGGGATCTGTGGCCATCTTCACCTTTCCTGGTCCCAGGAGGTGAGATCTCTTGGGCAACCAAGATCACTCCACTGTTCCCCAAGGGGTGATCCCAGGCAGATGACTCCTCTGGGCTGGCACAAGAAGGCGCTCACCTTGTTTCCTGAGACCCTGGGCAAGAGAAGGCCAGCAAGGCTTGGCTTTGAGCACTGCTTTGCATGACCCACGCCCCCTGGTGGTGTGGGTGGTGGAACATCTCTCTCAGCTGTGATCCTGGAGACAAGCCTTTCTTGAAAGGGTTTGAGGAGAGTCACCGGCTGAGCTGGCAGTTGAGGGTATGTGAGGCTTCTGAGGCTCCAGGGCTTACTTCTTACTAAGGAAAGAGGCTCTCATCCAGGGTGGTGTTTGGTCCCATTCTGGGCCATGGGTTAGTGGTGCTTCTCTCCAGCAAAGGTATCTGGGCAAGCTGTAGGCTAACCCAGAACTAAGAAGGATTTAGAGAGTTGAATATTAAAGTGATTTGAGGAATTCAGAAAAATTTCTGATGTTATTTATCAATGTGCAACCTACTCAGTGGATTTTTATACCTCAGGGCCATTTGCAAATCTTTATCCTTTCATGTTTCTTTTGTGTTCAAGTGGGCTGATAGGAGAGATGAGTTCAGAGAATTCTAAGCTGAGGTTCATTTCCCTCCATTTGAGCGGCAGGGGCCACACCTCTGCCAAGCTTGCTGACATGAGGAGGGCTTTCATCTTTTTATTACTGTCCCTCAAGGCTGGGACAAGTGGGTCGTCCTCCTCTGGCACTTGGAAGCTATCTGCCTGCAATGAATGCTTGCTTGCTGGCTTTTCTTCTGCTTCCTTCTTCCCTATCTGAAGGTTCACATTCCAGAGTCCCTGGTCACCCCTAAGGACAGGAGGAGGAGATGGCAGTTCACAGCAACTGCAAAGCCTGGAACAGCTTTCCTCCCATCATCTTGGGCTGGGGACCCTCTTTACCTTTTAGACCTCTGTGGTTGGCTCAGCTCTAGTAAGCTTTCTCTCTATATGCTGGAGCCATTGACATCATCTCACTAGAATTGTTTTAAATATCTTTGGATGGTAAATACCAAGTTGTACTTGAACCAACATGGACAGACACAGGTTCTAGTGGCAAGAGAGTAAAGCTCTAGGGTTTGTATGCAAAGGTTTATATGTACACATATATCATACCAAACATGGTACAGCTCCAACATGTACCGTAACAGCGACTTGAGTGAGTACATAACATTTCCTAGAGTTTTAGTACCCACTGGGACTATGAATAGATTGAAAGAATGACTGGGAGTATTGTCTTGCCTCACTTGGGAGGGTACCTTCTGGCATTTGCCCACATCTGATTGACAAGGATTCACTTGGAAGTGATTCTCTGGGGACCAGAGTCCTTACAGATTCACCCCGGATAGAACTATCCATGCACTGGTGGGCATGGGTGGCTGCCCTTTTTTTTGGAGAACCAGGCCTCTTGGGTTTGAACAACTGGTGTCCCAGGCTCCCAGGAGTGGGAGGTAGGGACAAGTAAGGCCTTAGGACTTTCATTCCCCAGAGCCCCATACTAACTTCTTATTCATTATCCCTATGTCTGAAGTCAACTGTGAAGGTGGAGTGTATTGGTCCATTGACTTTTCTTGTGCCTGGAGTCCTTTAAATCCACAAATGTATATGCTTTATTTTATATTATTTATTATGTACATATGCCTCTACTGTTAGTACATCGTCTGTGACTAGGACGAGATCTGTTTTGAAGTCCCTCATCCATGGAACCTAGAATTTGGTTGTCCCTTAAGTTGGGTGAGAGGGCAGTGGTTTGCTTTTTTTTTTTAAACAGGTTGCTGCTCTTATGTTGGCCCTAGCATTCCCAGCCCCTTTTATTGGGCCCACCTCTATTCCTGTTGACAGTGTTTGGGATGAGGATGGAGACAGGTCTCCTGCCTTGTGGCAGGGCCTCTGTGAAATGCTTGAGGTACTTTCTTGGTGATGGTTGTGGTATAGTACGACTGTGAGACTGGAGCCTCCTTCCTCACTCACCTACCCACTCCCACGCCACACCAGGTCAGTTGCCTGACCCAACAGTGATGGCCTTTACTTCCTACTTTGGATTTCAGAATCCATCTCTCTGGAACGTGGAAACTGCCTGCCCTTGTGGGCTCTTAATAATGCCTCTTCTTGGTTTTGAGGCCCAGTGCCAGTACTGCCTCAGCCCTCCAAAAGATTCTGCTGTGTCTGATTTTCATCCTCCATAGCCTTTACTCACTGTATCATAGTGTACATTCATGCTTTTCAGCAGTGAAGTTTTCTGAACACAGTATTCAGAGCTGTGTACATAAACCTAAATAAGCACAAATGACATGTATAGGTTTCATGAGCTGATTGTCATAATGAATGCATTTTATAATTCAAATGATGTTGTAGATTTACAATCTCTCCTATTTATTTTGTACCAATTTATTTGTAAATTTTGTGATTGTTTTAAAAGGTTTTTGTTTATTTCTATTATTCTATTTAGATAAATGATTTTCTGTTCACTCTTCTAGCGGATGTGTGCTCCCTCTTTCCCCTTTCATCAGTGCAACACCAACCATCCCACCTTATTCTTTCCTGGCCCGTGCCCATCTGCATGGCTTCACTGTGGGAAAGCTGGGATTGTTCTCAGCAGGCAGCACAGCAGGGCTTTTCCACTGGACATTCACCCTCAAGTCTTGTGTTAAAAGCAAAGTGGGTTCTAGTTCTGTGCCTGCACGTTACAGCCTGGGACAGCCAATTCTGGGTGGTGGTGGTGGTCTCCTTTGCAAGAGCTGTAGTCTGTCCCCCATCACGTCATCTCTAGACCTGGACACTGAGGGTAACTACTCAAATGCCTCAGCCACTGGTTGCTCAATCCCACATAACACAGTTCAGCTGGGCAAGGTAACCGAGCCCAAAGGCCTTGTTCAGGCCTCTCCATGAGCTCTTGAGAATAGCTTTGTAGGTCCTCCTGTGCTACGCTAACCCTAGGACGAAAGTCAGAGCAGGCATGACGGTTCACCCTGAAATTAAAAACACCCAGCATGGGTGTGGTGAGGCATGTTCAGATGCTCGAGTCAGTGGGCATCCCCCGCTCCCCAACAGTTCATTGTGTGTGGCCTCCATCCTCTTCCATCACCACTTCTTTTCTAGTCTACTTACCTTCCACAGTCATGTGACTGGACCCAGAAGATCTTCCAGTTGAGCTTCCAACCCTAACTGCATCTTTTTGGGATTCTTTCTCCCTCTTAGTCTCTGTTTTACATTCCAAAGATTTGAGCCTCTTAATAACTAGTCTCTTAGTTTCCTGCCATATGTAACCATGATGCTTGCAGTCTCTTTTACTTTCACTTGTCCCATGGAAGGAAACATTTCAGTGAAGGAGCTCGGCTTTGAGACACTGCCTGACCTAGCCACTCCCTACCCCGCACCTCCACCCAATCATTGCCCCCCAGTTTCCAGAATGGAGAACGAGGTATATCTATATTCCAGTGAAGTGTTATCTTCTTGGGAGCTTGTTTGCTTTCCTTAGAAGCAGGACAGAAAGCAGCAGCAAGGCTGGGGAAGGAAAGCACTCCTGCACATCCACTCCCACCTTGCTGCTTTGGTTGGTTTTTCCTGCTTTACTCACTTTGTCTAGATGAGTCCTGAGCTTGAATCAGGAAATACTCTAAGGAAAGTGGAGGCAGTTTTTCCTACTGTGAGGATGAGATTTGCCCAAGGTGTCCCTCTCCATCCATACGCACATGTGTGTCATTTCTAAGCTTTACTGTGATGAGCTCTGGGGTTTCTAGTTCACGTAAGAAATTGTGCTCCTCAGCGCTTCTCAGCTCAGCACTTCTGAGGACACAGATACTGATTAGAGGGTCTCGTGGAGAAAGTGACGGGTACAAACTGAATGAACTTTTTATAGCCTGGAGTTGATTTCTGGAAACTTATTTTATACTTTTTGAAGGTAATTAAATTTAATAAAGAGATGATTCCTTATTAAAGCCAAAAAGTTGAATTATATTAGATGGCTAATAAATTCTTTTGCTTTCTTTGTATGATTGTTTCATCATTTTTCCTCCAAGGGCCTCATGTGTATACTCTTCCTTGCAAGAAGTCTCAGGACAAAGAAATGGTTATAGGCCCTTTTCTCCGTGACATTCAGGTGGCAAGCCATCTCCCCTGGTGGTGATCATAAGACCTGAGGATGCAAGTTTCTAAGGGGGGATCGGTTGCCAGAATTCTTTGTCAAAGTGCTTTTCCTGCTAGGGTATTCATGACTGTGGAACGCTCGGACAGGAGGCCAGCACACAACATTAATTTTAGATTGAGCCAGCTTTCCTTCCACAATTCTACATCATTGACTTGAGGGCAGTGGGTCCAAAAATGAAGTTACTTGCTTCAAAATACCCATACCCACAAGTCAGACTACCTCTGGTGAGAACCCTCTCTCAAAAGGCTGGACGTTTAATAAACAAACATTTTTCAGCATTGGGAAGGTTTGCTTGGCAAATCTTCTTTCCAAGTATCTCAGGAACTTGTGAGACTTGGAAGAGTGTTACTGTCTTTCATGGGAAGAATGTGCACTCAGCTGCGTGGGCTCTAGGTTGTGTGGGAAGGTTTATCTCGGCCCAGACTCCTCAGGCCTGGTCTACGTCACTGGCAAGGCATGGCTTTGGGAAGTGCTGGCTGGGGCGGGGGGGTTAGAGCATTTGGAGACATACATGTACTTGATTTGATTCATGAAGCTATCTAACACACCCTTACTCTAGAGTAATAAAAGAAAAATGGAGCAAAGGTATTTTGTGGGAAGAAACAGAAAGGAACCAGGCCACAAACTTGTCATTTTGTTTTAAAGTGGGAAATAAGAGATTCCTCAGAATTGCAGTGACAGCAAGCTTGAAATGAAATATTCTGTGCTCAATTGGGACTACTTTTTGCGTCAAAGCTCGTCATAGGGACGTAACTAAACTACTGTATCTTATTTTTAAAATGACATACCTTCATTGGAACAAGTCAAATTGTTGCGGCCTTGAGATGAAGACACTTGTATCTGAGGAAAGGGTGAAGATCACCCTGGCAAAGTGGTGAAAATCACCCGATTAAAGAACAGGTTCATTCTGTAAACAAATCCATTCTCTTTTTAGATGATGTACTTTCTGCTATTTCTAGATACTCAGCAGTGAGAGAACAGTGGCAAGTGCTGCTGTACTGTTAGTGGGACAGTGTGGACTCCTGGCTGTTGCCTGGTTCTGCTCACTGGGCCGGCTGCTGTGAGGGGCACGGCATCCCTGCTCCTGCGTAGTAGGGCACCATTTTTCTTCTATCTTCAAGGCTGCTCGGGTAGCGCTGTGGTAGAGACTTCGTTCTCAGGGCATCCCGAAGTTGTGCATCATTTAAAATCGTTCCATTTGAGGAAAAATTTCTTTAAGGAGAGTTGTTATGTCCTAGTCACCAAGAAAGAAGGTCGTCAGAAACATCACTATCCAGCGCTATTACTAAACCAAGTGGCTGCGTTGAGAACAATTCCATCCCTTTGAGGAACTGGGCCATTACTATATGGCAGTAGCTGGATCATAGTTACCATTTTTCCCACCATCAAACAGAGGTTAAATAGTTTCCATAACATGGAATGTGGATAAGTTTCCTATCCTAATGCAGACTTAAGTATGCAGTTGTTTGTCTCAGGCTATTTGTGGTGAAACAGCAGAGTATTTTAAAAATGCCCCAGCAGCCTTGGAAAAACTGCAGAGCGTTAAAGTTGTTGACAAAGTATTTCTTAAGTAAATAAATCTACTTTAGAAATATTTAAACATGGGTAAAGTACTTTTAAATCTGACATGTAACTGTATGTGGCTTTTGTAAGTGGTTTCTTAAAAATAATACTAACATGATTTAAGGATCTGTAGTCTGAGTTACTCTAGTTCTATTAAAAACCACTTCTAAAAGTATCTTAGAAACGGCAGCTTGAAGGGCTTGCTTTACTATTTTAGGTCTGAGCAGAGCTACGCGTATAGTAGGAAAATCTTAAGCAGTCTAAAGCAGGGCGCTAAACTTCCTTGGCTTTAAACAACTTTCCTGAAATACACCACCAGAGCTTCCTCTGTGCATCTCTGTAGACGTTCATGGACTGGGCAAGGCCTCTTGCAGAGGACGCCATCAGGGCCAGGGTCTGCTGTGACTCTGCCCAGCTGCTGAGCACTCCAGAGTCTGTTAGTTACATGCTGTCAGGCTGGGAGTTCAGTCTAGCACCCATGAAAAGGGGTGCCTGGCACTCTACGAAGTCTGAAAATAAGTGGCGTTTTCAAAATACCCAGGAAAAGATTCTCAAAAGAGATGACAGATCTGTCTTCTCATGGTTTAAAATTTCTCAGGTTTTTTAAAAAGGAAAAGTATACATTTTAAGTTCGGCTTCCTTACCTATTGGCAAGAGAGAGAGAGAGAGACTCACAATTCACGTTCTAACACAGCCCAGTTACAGCAGCACTGGCTGAGAGCCTGCCTGTGGACCTCTCACACCCTTCTAACAAGACTGGCATAGGATCTCTCACACCCTTCTAACAAGACTGGCATACAGAGAAGCACCATTCTGCTCTGGGTCTTAGACTTCTTATGGAAACCTAGCTCTTTACAAATCTGTGGTGGTGGTTCTGGAGAAAGCTGTGACCAGGGGTGGAATTCTTAACTTATCCCAGTTGTGTGCTTTTCTGTCTTTGGGCCCACTACCAGACAGTCATCTGGCTAAGAAGAAATGCTTATGTGGATAGAATACAAAAGGTGTGATGATAAAGCAAAGTAATTCTGTTGATTCTTGCTCTAAATGGGAAAATATGTAACTTCTATTATAATAACTACAGTTGCAATAAGCCACTTAGAAATTATCTGGCTGTGAGAAAATTTAAGAATATGTCAGACTGGGCAACATCTCCATCTTGGATGAGAGTGACTATAACTGGGGTGACCACACATTCCCCAAAATTTTAAAACAGAGATAGCACCTAATTGCTATCTGCAATAGCATTTCTAACCTAAAAACTTTAAAGTAGCATATATTCCCAATACCAGTTACAATGTATGTTTCTTGGCATGACTTAATCTATAGCCATATATATTTAAAGTGGTGAGGTAGTGTATCCTTGGCTAAGTTTTACTGAGCTGTGTTTCCTACCTATAAAATGAACATTAAAGAAAAGAAAAAAATCCTTACCTCACAGTCTTGTGCCAAAAAGCTTTTTGTGAAAAAATTTTAAGGCCTATGAAGTGCTGTAACTATTATCATGTTAGACTATATCAATTCTTTAAGTTTATTTTTAACCAAAAGGGATCTGGGCACATTTAGCATTTTTTAAAATGTATATTTCTTTTAAGAAAAGCAAATGTCCAATTGATGTCACTAAGCCAAACTGAAACCCACGTGGAGCCCAGTGCCTATTACAGTTGTGTTGTAGGAAGGGGTCAAAGTCAATATTAGAAATATTACCTTTATTGAATTCTAGAGCAGCTAATCTACCATTACCCTGCCCTGTTGAACAATGAAAATAAGAATGAAAGAAATTATATGAAGATTAAAGGAAGGGTCTACACCACTGTTTAAAATGTTGTAACAACTTTCACTGTACTCGTGAGGCAGTTATAACACTCGAAAGTATACAGTAATGATTCATTCTTGTTTGAAACAAGAAGTGATTGCACATGAGCTTCTGAAGTAAGTTTATTCACACTGCTTGTGCCCTCTGCTTTAGTAAGGTTCTGGCCTACACAGCCCTCTTCCCACCCTCTAATGCTCAACTTTGAAACATAGCAGTTAACCCTAGAGGGGAGAGAGCAGGCTGGAATTGGGTGGCATGAACCACAATTCTGTAAAAACTAACAGGTTTTACTCAGTTATGCTGTACTATAAGAAAGAGGTTCCTTCTTTCCTTTTCTAGGGGCTGCTCCTTTGTCTTCTTTCAGCTAAACTCTTTCTATAGATTTGTCACAGATGAGAAAAAGATTATTTTTTTGGATAACAAACAAGCATTTGTGCTATCAACCAAAAAATGTAGAAATGGAGGAGGACTTTTGCTTCATAATAGAATCCCTGTAGTCCAGACCAGATCAGTCCTAAAGCAAGGAGAGAACCTTCTTGAAAGCCACGGACAGGCAGCAGCTGGACCAGGGTCACTGAGGACACTTACAGGCTTATAAAGGGAAATGACCTCAACAGAAGACTACATATGATAATGGAAACAATGTATTTCTCCACTGATATACAATACTGTGCAATCACACTTGGTATATCCAGATCACTACAACGGACTGATAATGTAAAAAGACGAGGAGACAGTGTCACAAGCCATGATGGGAGCCACCTACGTGTAGTTCAGCCTGACTTTACCTTGACTTTCTTCATTACAATTATGAATCATCTGCAAAGAGTGTAGATACACAAAACTAAAACAAGTCTCTCTCTATAATTAAAATATTTTAAAGTCCTCAGAAACTTTCCAGAGGTACCTCTGATGGAGTCCCACCTCCCCCACTAGAACCCAAACAGGGACATCCTCTGCTCCTGTGAGTCCTGCCAGAACTTGTTTAATGGGTGCTTAGAGTTTTGGTTTTCCTCCTTATTCTTCCTCTTCTTCTTCCTCCTCCTCCTCTTCATCATCATCTTCATCATGGCAGTGCGTAATTTCCTGGGGGGCCAGTGGGAAGAGGTTGGGAGGTTTAATCTCACTAATCGACCGTGTCAACTGGTGCCTCTTGTAGTCAGTGTCTTTGAAATCCACTGATGTGCGGTTCCGGGTGGCAAGGGGGGACTCCATCTCGTTGATATCTACATGTGTGTGCTCCACTGTTGATTCATGAGGCATCTAGAAAAAAGCCAGAGGCTCAGAAAACCAGCAGAGCAAAGTAACTGCTTCCCAAATCCTGTCTCCCTAGCACTACCTCAAGCTGCTTATCCCTCTTCCTTCTTGCCACCCAAAATGTTGCCCAGGTAGTTTACTACAACCTGAAATCTAGTAAGATGGGAGAGGAGAGAATATTATTTCCTATTTTACAGCAAAAAACAGCCCTGAGACATACATCAGTATCAGAACTTCAATTCGTGCTAACAAAAGAGGAAAGTCTGCCATTCGAGTACAACTTTTAATAGAGCAGATTTCATAGAGCTGCCCTCTGTAATATTCCATCTTGATCATAATTTTTCAGACCCCCTATTGCACAACCATATAACCTGCCTGTGTGCTTTGTACATCAGAAAGAACTGATCCAAAATGTCTCCTGTGCCATCCCACAGAGCCAGGTGCAGATCTTGGCCTTAGAGTGTATCTTACTATAAATAATACCTTGAGGCTGTATTAACTCACCAAGATGTGGGCAGCTCTGAAGAGGTAGCTGAATGGGTAGTACAGCAGATTGATGAAAGAAGCTGCATAGAGGTCAGCATAACGCATCACCTGACTGGCAAAGAGGGTCTGCCGGGAGCCACTACGGAACAGGCTTCCCATCATGCCATAGCACATGTCCATGTCATGAGTTACTTTCTAAAACAAAAAACAAGACTGATTCTCAACTCATTCAACAAATATATACCGAGCACCAGCTATGTGCCAGTCCCTGTATAAAATCAGAAATACGAGTATCATTTAAACTAAATTTATTTTCCAAGTTTTTCCTGAAAACCCATTTGAATACCTTGATACGTCTTTGGATGGAACTAATATCTGGGCGCTCATTGCTGCTGCTGTCAAGGTGCCTGGAGACCAAAAAAAAAAAACTCCAGTGAAACGCTCATGAGGATACTTCTTACACTTAGCTGATTGGCAGAGGTTTTGGGGGAAGAAATTTTTACAATTAGGAAACTTACTTGTAGAGTTCAGCCAAGAAAATATCCAAGCTCTGAAGCTCTTCGAAAAGTGCTAGTTAAGGTTTGGAAGGAAAAGGAAAACATTTTAAATAAGTAAAAAGCATCCAGTTTTTAATTGCTACTGAAGCTAAATTGAAAGGCTGTAGATAGGACCAAAAAGTATAGCCTGGCACTAAGGTGCTACAGATGAGTATCTAAAATGACCTCCTCCTTCCCAGAACTGCAGGGAAACCCACTGACGCTGCTTGGATGGAGGCTGGTATGATAAGGAGCAGCCAAGCACCAGAATCTCCTCTAAGTTCCTGTCCTCCAACCTGAACACCACTGACAAGTCTCTCTCCCAGCTGCGAGCCAATTCTAGCTCACAAGTGCCAATCCGTGGCATCTCAGGTGCACTCAGGAGGCAAGTGCTAGCAGTTCCATGTTCAGATGAAGAAATGAGGATTAGGAGACTTGCCCAAAGTCACAGGTCGAGAAAACAGGAGAGCCAAATCAATTCGATTTCTAAAACTTCAGAGGTGGAAAGTTGAAAATGTGGGTGAAAGGCTAGCCAGAAAATCCCACTGATGAGCACACACAATAGGAACAGTTAACAGCCAGCACCTATTGCACACTTTCTGTGTGTTCCAGTCTTCTCAACCAGGGTTCCTCAAGAGAAGTAAGCCCTAACACATCTGTTATTATGTAATAAATGAACTCTTCTTCTACCTACCATTTTTGGGAAAATTGAGGAAAGTCACTCAAATCATTTTCTGTGTTTGTGGTTCAGATGAGGAGCCTTAGTTGAGAAGGGCTGCCACTTGTATCTGCTTTATACGCATACTACCTCAGTTAATTCTCATCTACTTTTTGAGGCAGGTATCATGATTATCCTCATTTTATATCTGAGGAAATGGGCACAGGGTAATTTGCCCAAGGGCATGCAGAGAATAAGTGGTGGAGCCTTGATTCCCACCTCAGGCAGGCTGAGTTTCCGAGTCAGTGCCTTTCACCAGGCTGTGGGTGGTGCTCTCTACGGTTTGGGTGCTGAACATCTCTGCATGACTAGAGCCACAGGTGAATTCAGTGTACATGCAAACTAAAATAAACCCGTTGCCGTCGAGTCGATTCCAACTCATAGCAACCCTATAGGACAGAACAGAAATGCCCCATAGGGTTTCCAAGGAGCACCTGGTGGATTTGAACTGCCGACCTTTTAGTTAGCAGACATAGTTCTTAACCACTGAGCCATCAGTGTACACAGCGTAGCTTAATTCAGAGAACGCAATTTTGCTTCATTCTCTACTTCTCAGAAGAGCAAACGAAAACTACCAGGAGATGATTAACATTCAGAGCCGTCACTGCCCCAGAATCACAGATCCGAGCTGGGAGCAGAGACTGGGACTATTAGGTGTGGTGGAGAAATGAGGGACTACACAGGAAAGTAGAGTTCCAGACTCACATTTAGATAGCAACACTCTCTACTTAACCTTGAAAGAATTCAAGAAGAAAGTTAAACAAAAGCTCTCAGGTCTCTCAAATTCTAGAGTTCTGTGAAATATGTGGCTATTCTAATGGGAAGGAGGTGTCCAAGCATCAGGGCCCACTTCTGACCACCCCTGATCCCCTCCATACAAAGTAACAGGAGGACTGATCCAAAGCTGGCCATGGAGATATAAACTAGCTGTGTCAAAGGTTTATGAAAGAAGAGTTAATGGCTGCTTACAACTCTTGTCAGTCCAGACATGCAGCTCCTGTGCAAGTTCAGGGATCACCAAAAAAGTTCGCCACCCTTGCCGTTTCTTTGATTTTAAAATGTCCCCAAAAATGTGATCTCCAATGTACAAAATGTCCTTGCCCTTCGCTCCCAACAGATCACAGATTGTATCAGATGAACCTGAAACAATGGAATGAACAATGTGAAAAAAACGTTGCCATGTTAAAACCATAAAATCATTCAATACTGTGCAGATTATCAGTTTTATTCTTACAGTTATGTGAGGGACAGACTGGAGGAAAGGCTCTTTTTTTTCCCCCACTATTCTTTATATTGCCTCTAAGACAACGCCTTCAGCTCCACTGTTCTGACGAGATCTCTTGATCACCAAACCCAAGACGAACAAAACTACATTTTCTCAGCTTTTGTAAATCTAACGTTCAAAAGTACCATCACCATTTTCCATCATGGATCTGTCATTAATGTGGTTTTGCTCAGCTGTTTCTAACTCCACCATAATCTGTCCACAGGAGCTCCTTGAAACCTTCTTGGCAATCCCTTGAGAATCATCCCAAATAATTCCAGGTCACTGAGAAAAAGCCTCAAATAGGTAAAAGAAGAAAGGGAGAAAACTGATCCTTCTAGTGAAGACCAGAGATTCATTAGGACATACAACTTCTCAAACCCTTCTCCCTGACTCCTGCTGCACCAGTAGGTGAATGTCGTATTTATCTACCTTGAGTAGATAAAGTCTTTAGGATACTTAAGAGTAAACATGGCACTATGCCAGGAGGACACCAAAACTTTCCGAGAGACGTCTGAGCAAGGACTGACATTAGGAAGTCTGACTCACCTCCTGAGTAGACGATGCCATGCTGTAAGGGGCCGGTGTAGGTGCCAATTTTCAGCTTGCCAGTTTTCTGTGTGAAGAGAATATGGAATTTGTAATACTTATCATTCTATCACAATATCCACCCAAAATGCTAGGTGGCCAGCCAGCCAAATGAACGGCATTTATTTTTCTGATTTAGTGACTTGTTTGGCTACCTCAGTTAAAAACCATAACCCTTACATTAATTTCAAAAGAGAGATAAGGCTAATTTGTTATTAAAACAAAACAAAAAACCTGTTTCCTTAGGGAGAGTATGAGTGGGAGAAGGAGAAACATGAAGGACAGCGTGCTAGCACACAGATCATCCTCTGGACTTACAGTATCCACTTGGCGCAACACTGTGCCTTCTCCAAAAAAGAGTGGTTTCCGTGCATCCACCAAGATCAGGTCAAAGTAGGACTGCCATGGTCGATGGGAGCTCCCAGGCTGGTGACGGAGAAACAGCAGAGGCTGAAACAGCACTCCTTACCTTAAGGCACTAATACTTAATCTCACTCAGATGCAAGGAATGTAGAAATACTAAGTATAGCCAGAAGAGCTCACTATTTTATCAAACATTTATTGTGTCTTATTATAAACCACGTCCTTTTGGAAGCAGACAGGGTATAAATAATAAGTCAACTAATAATCTCTACATCTTAAATCATATTATCTAATACTGAATTACAGTAACTTACTTCACAGCAATTTAATACATGAAAGAAAGTGTACTCACACTCTGAAATATACTTAAAGGAGCTACGAAGAGATGCAGATTAAGAAGAGGTGGATCAGCATCAGAACTAAAGTGTACAAACTAACATGGAACTATTATTAGGAAATTTTACTCTTATGTTCTCAAAATGATGGCTCTAAGACCATACTGGCCTTTGGCTCATATTGCAAACACTAAGAAGTTACTCCCATTAAAATTATTTCCAGCCTGAGATGGAACCATAGTAGTAACCTTTTACGACCAAACTGAAGAACACTGCACACTATGCAGTGGTCTCAAACACTGACATTTATTCACAGAAGCCAAGGACAAACACTCCACAAATATGCAACTAAGTAGCAATGGATATTTCTTTTTTTCTTTTTAATTGTGCTTTAAGTGAAAGTTTACAATTCAAGTTAGTCTCTCAGACAAAAATTTATACATATACTGTTACGTGACCCTAGTTGCTCTCCCTGTACTGTGACAGCACACTCCTCCTTTCCACCCCGGACTTCCCGTGTCCATTCAACCAGCTCCTGACCCTCTCTGCATTCTCATCTTACCTCTGGACAGGAGCTGCCCATTTAGTCTCACGTATCTACTTGAGCTAAGAAGTATCATTTTATGTCCCATAGTCCAGTCTAATCTTTGAAGAGTTGGCCTTGGGAATGGTTTTAGTTTTGGGCTTACAGAGTCCAGGGGCCATGTCTTCAGGGATCCCCCCAGTCTCAGTTAAACTATTAAGTCTGGTCTGTCTACCAGAATTTGTTTTGCACCCCACTTTCCTCCTGCTCCATCAGGGACTCTCTGTTGTGTTCCCTGTCAGGGCAGTCATTGGTGGTAGCCGGGCACCATCTACTTTTTCTGGACTCAGGCTGATGGAGTCTCTGGTTTATGTGGCCCTTTCTGTCTCTTGTGCTACTACTTTCCTTGTGTCTTTGGTGTTCTTTATTCTCCTTTACTCCAGGTGGGTTGGGACCAATTGATGCATCTTAGATGACCGCTCGCTAGCTTTTAAGACCCCAGACGCCACTCACCAAAGCGGAATGCAGAACATTTTCTTAATAAACTCTGTTATGCCAATTGACCTAGATGTCCCCTGAAACCATGGTCACAATTAGGAATAAGACTTCTCGGCTAAATATCAAGGTTAACTGTTCTCTTGGCATAAAACTGAGCAGTAACTAAGCACTATCTAGAAGTTGTTGAGAATATACACGTTCAAATTTTGTTTCTTTTAATCAAATATTCTTCCTCAACCTGGAAAATTCCTTTTATTGTCACGAAATATAACAATGCTGCTTTGAACTTCTTGAGCATAAAATTATTCTGATCCCATCCCAATAAATACCACATGAATATCCCTTTTATGTCTGTTTACAAAGTACTCAAATTGCTAGTGACTTAAAATCCACTAGTTCATGAATTACTTCTAATGTTAATGAAGAGTAGGCCATTTTCTGGATGGGTGCTGACCAATTCCTTCCCCTCAATATTCCAGGATGATTAAATGCACTCATTGTTACTAAAGCAATGGTCTATTAAGTTACATAGAGTACCTTGGGGCCATGTGGGAAATCAAATAGGTAAGTCATAATTTTCTGGAGGAGGAAAAAAAAAAAGGCAACATAAGGTCCATATACTACTTCTACAAAAGACATATAACATCTAAAAAAAAAAAAAAAAAATCACATGCAAGCTTTTAATAAAACATGTCTTTCAATATAGGATTCTTTACATTCTTGTTACTTTTAAATTTTGTGAAATCACAGCAGAGGAAGCCAGAAATTAATTGCCTCATCATAACAAAAAAAAAAAAAAAATAGCTTCTGACACTGTAAGATGTACACTTCCATCTAGGAGATATTTTTGTATAGATTCATCCATATATCCCTATCCAATTCCCCTAGTGGCCTGAGACACACATTTGGAGGTAAGGGGCATCTGAGGGGAGGGCACAGAGAAAACAACATACTGCCTTGGCCTTGTTACACGGTCCCTAACCAACCACAGGCTTTATAAGATCACCGACTTCAAATCACTAGATTTCTAAATCAAAACGTTACATAAAGAGGATTGGGAAGGGCTAAGCTTCTTATTAGTGCTATAAACTTGTAACTGTCTTAGCAAAAGTAAGATAAGGTTAAAGAGTTAAATCAGTATTTCCATATGCTTCAATCATGGCAGAAAACATGGGCTAGTCAATTTTGATGGCTAAGAGTCAAGACATCTTTGCACCATCTACTGTTTTCGGGGTCCAAACGCAGAGAAGGAATGTATACAGATGCAATAAACGGTGTGGGCAAACTCAACACAATGATTTCTCTGGTTATATAAATGATGCTCCACAGAAGCCACTTTAGTCAGCACAAATGTTTTAATTGTTATCAGGGAAAATACTGTAGTCAAAAAGGAGGTTCTACAAATACTTAGAAAAATTTGAAAACCACTCTGGGATAGCCCTTATTGCTACGTGTTTGCTTTTTTCTACTCTGCTTTCAAATGAAAAGACAAAAAACTACTCTCACTTAATAAACTATCATCTTCCTCATTACCTTCACTGTTCTTTTAAGATCAAAATATAAAACACATAATTCCTCTGTATAAATAAACAGACCAATATGAATATTCAACACTCACATCTGTATATTTATAGTCGCTGTTGGTGGCAAGAAATACTTTCCCTACTTCCTTCATCCGGCTCAGAAGCAACGGCAGTTTTCCCTGAAATGTAATGTGATGATAAGAGAAACATTAAAACAAACATTTTTACATTTACACTTAAGAGCAGTCATGTACTGGATAAACCACTTTTGCCCATTGAAACAGGAATAGGAGATCCCCTTCAAAGGTTTGTTTTAGAATTTTACATTTAAAAGCTCATATTATCACCATGCATGAATAAGGTATTAACACATGTAATATACACAATGTATGTAACACACAGATTTGTATATAAAATTATATATATATATAATGATTATATGGTTGTTAACAATGTCTCATTATAACTGCCTCAGGAAAGTTTAAATTACCTTGTCATTTCCTGAAATATGTCAGTTTGGTGTGTTAGAGATCAAAAGAACCTGATTTTAAACATCACCAACAAAATACTCCATGTGGAGATTATTAGATAGCTTCACTGTGTCTATTTTGGTCTTATAAAACACCTTGCAGAACGAAATGACGTGCTGGATAGCAACCTAGAAATGCTCAGACTTACCTGCAGATAAGTGAGGAAATTCTAACTCCCGATATGCCTAGAAAGAAAGACACCCTTTCCTTCTCCTACAGTAAATAGGGTGAATTTGAGTAAACGCACTCAAATTCTCCAGGAGCCCTCCCTGCTCAGTGCTTGTTCTTGAAACAATGGGGTGTAGGGGTACAAAGACTGAAAACAACAGAAAATCTTTACCAAAGTGCTTTGAGAAAATATTGTGTACTGCTACTTTTACTCTGTAGGAAAGGAAGCGGCATCTCATTTCTAGGGTGTGTATGTGTTTTACTTTTTATTTTGAAGTAATTTTAGACTTACAAAAAAGTTGTGGAAATAGTACAGAGTTCCCATATACCCTTCATCCAGCTTCCCCTAATATTAGCATCTTACATAACCACAATATAATTATCAAAACTAAGAAATTAGCATTGGTACAATACTATTAACTACAAATTTTTTTTTCAGATTTTACCAGCTTTTCCACTCTCTTAACGATATTTTAAAGCTTTCCTTATTATTCTCTGCTGATATGTTAAAGGTGTTTTTAAATAACAACCACATATATGCACATCATTTTTGAGATGATCTAGTACAGTGGTTATGATTTGGGTTAGATTTGGGTATAAATCCTGGCTTTGCTACTAATTGGGTGTTATTTAGTCCCCTCTATTCCTCAGTTTCTTCATCTATAAAAAGGTAACAATAATACCTAACTCAGGGTTATAAAGAAGATTAAATGGGACAATGCATCTAAATCACTTAGTACAGTGATATGCACATATTAATAAGGACTCTAGCTGCTATTATTATGTTGTTATGCTGTTGTTAGGTGTCACTGAGTCAGTTCTGACTCATAGCGACCCTATAGGATAGAGTAGAAATGCCCCATAGGGTTTCCAAGGAGCAGCTGGTAGATTTGAATGGCTGACTTTTTGGTTAGCAGCCGACCTCTTAACCACTACACCAAATGAAATACAGGGTCTTCTCGCCTACCAGCAAACAGGAAAAAATACACTAAGACCTATGCTCTGACAAGCCCTGGTGGCACAATGGTTAAGCACTCGGCTGCTAACGGAAAGGTCTAGGGTTTAAACCCATCAGCAGCTCTGCGGAAGAAAAGACCTGGCGATCTGCTTCTGTAAAGATTACAGCCTAGGAAACCCTCTACTCTGCCGTATCGGGTTGCTAGGCATCAGGATCAATCTGATGGCACACAACAACAATGACAATGCTCTAGCTAAAATCTCTTGGTGATTACACCTAGCACATATTAAGCCAAGACAAAGAAATATCTTCCCTTGCCCATTTCACTGTAAGAAGGCTTGTTATTCACTTCTCTCCCAGGTAAAATAAGCTATCATGCAGATCTGTTTTCCTCTTTATTACTTACATCTTTGACTACATACTTCTCAAGACTTTCAACCGTCTTTTCCTTAAGGGAGCCCTAGGGGTTAGAAGAAAAAGCAGTAAGAACAAAATCAGTTATTAACATTTAGTTTATAAGAAAAATTCTGTCTACTATCAACCCAAACACATTTCTTAAGCATTTACCAAAATGGAAAAGTAGATAAACTAGGCCAGGGAAAAGTGGATACACTAGAGAAGGCGGCCAGGGAAAAGTGATAAATGAGAGAAGACGACCAGGGGAGAACGGCAGGTACGATTTGCTGCTACTCTGCCTCCAAATTTGTCTTCAAAATATAAAACTGCTGCTATTTTAAACTAGAAGTCAAACGACATTTTATATTCAGTACAGTTTATAGTAAATGTTAATTTAATATTAATTAATGTTATTAGTTGGGGAGAGGTTCTTGGACAAAACAAATGAACCAAAATCATTCACAAGGGGCATGGTAAGTATAATATCATCCACTGCAATCTCTTCTAAGTAAGTTTGGGAAATACAAACGAAAATAAGATCTAGAAGCCAAGCACCAACTTGAGGAGAGATAAGCATTACCTTTAAATCGGACAGGCAAAGACAAGAACAAATGTATTCTAGAGACCTATCACTAGGGGGCAAATCGTTTTTTTTTTTTTAAACAAAGGAAAAATTCTGATTCGTTTGCACTGAGAAAGTTAATGTCAGATCATAAAACACATGCCACATAGTGAGCAGGTGAAGAAATAGCTTCTAGGTACCTTGTAATGAACCCAATCAACGGCATCTCTTACATCCTGGAACATACTCCGGTAGGACATGAAGAGGTCTCCATCTTTAAATCCTGTATCACAGCTGTAGAAAGAGGAAAGGAACATGATAGGGAACCCAAAAGAGGGTAAATCAAATGAATATCAAAAACTGCCCAGGGGACCCAAAGGTTCCGTATCACATGGGTAATGGCTGGGTCTGATCAGGAAAATAATTACTCCCTAATGAAAAATCCATTTTTGACTGCCAGAAATGGCAATAGTATTCAATGGAATACAGTCATTTTGAACAAATATAAAGTGAAAGAAGACTACAACGAATGGAAGCTAAATGGTCAAATTTCCAAATATATCAGGTTCTTTTATTCATTTTTAAAAAACAGGTTCCCATCAAAGAAACATCTAAAAATAAAACTGGTAATTTAGGTTTTCCCCACCCTGAATTTGACACTGTCCCTATGTAAAAAGTTATTGCCATTTTCTATTCAGTTTAGTGACTCAGCTCTCCACCAAATTTAGTGCCTTGAAGTGGCTAAGGCCTAACAAGGATAAGAGGTTAGCAAACTCTGACTTATATGCCTAACCTTTCAGCCATCACTATACAAGTCTCCCCAAAAGGAGAGAATAACTTGTTCAAGACTTTGGCAAAATTTTACTTCAGAGAAAATAAGTTGCATTTATTCTTCAGTCAAGTCTTGTGCCTGGTAATGAAACTAACTGCCATCCCTGAATGGCTCCTGGGTAGCTGCTGTGAAATGAGTTGGGGGGTTTTAGTGTAATTCTGCTTAGACAGATAATCACCACACAAACCTCCCACTCAGTTGTCACAATTAGCACCTCTGCTGGCGTCTTCATTCCCAGGAGAAGCCAATCAGAAGTGGTCCCTTCCAAACATGGCTGCAGCACACTGGCAAGGACAGGGGCCGTGTGGGAGGTGAGAGCCTGCATGGAGCTGCTGCTGCTGTCCCATCTCTCAGGCTGGCAATGTGGCATCTCTCACTAGCACTAAATTCACTTCAGAAAAGCAGAAAAGACCTACAATGGCCAGTTCTCTAAAACCCTGTACATTAATTAAAAAATCAATTGGAAAAAGAAAATTATAGTATACACATACCTGGCATATCTGGGACAATTAGTAAAAAAATCTACTAGGCAGGCCAACAGGTAGGTCTCTGAAAAATGAAGAATAGATATTCATAAGCTATTCAAACTTATTTCATTATCTCCCTCGAGCAAAGATAAACGGTCATGAAAAGAAGGGAAAGCATCAGTGTATATATAAGCATAGAATGAGTCTACCTGGTAGGTTGAATAGTGTGTTCAAAATGTAAAATCTTTCAGTGTCATCCCGTTGGATAAATTTATTTGGATACTGCTCTCTAGTTTCTGGTCTGAAAGAAAATTTTAAAAATTAACTGGTACTTAAACAGTTAACATAATAACCATGGGATACAGTCATTATTTAAAAAATTCATTTAAATTCTTTAGTGGTTATGTGCCAGGCAGGGCTCCAAATATTACACATGCATAGCTATGAAGATGTACAAACTTGGGTTCCAGCCCTTTAAGAGTTCTCAGTCTGGTAGGGGACATGAGTCACGTATACAGACAATAATAACAAGGTAAAAAATCACAACTAACACAAGAGAAGTACAAAGAGCTAGGAGAAAACTGAGGAAGGGGAGACCATGTGAACTTGCGGAGTAGAGAAGAGTGACTGTGAAGAGTGAGGAGAGGAAAACCTAGGGAGGATTCATGAGAACGGTGGCGTATCAGCTGGACCTTAAAGGCTAGGTGGTCAGTTCAGGAACTAGTCCAGTTTGACTAAAAAATGGGAGCAGAGAAAAATAAAGACAGAACAATGGGCTGAAACTGATCATGCTATTGTTCTTTTACTGCATTCAGGTGCATTCAGGGGTGACGGTGCCACCGACAGTTTTTAAGCAGAGATAAAATCATCAGAGCCAAGTTCTGAGAAACACTGACTTAGTAGCTGGGTTTAGGATAGGAAAGAAGATGTAGATAAACTAGAAAATGTAAACCAGACAATGTAGATAAACTAGAGAAAGATGTAGTATGTTGCAAAAATAGCCACAAATGCTCCCCATCCCTTTGCAATGTGACTTGGCAGCTCCTCCCATCAAAAGGCTGAGTATATTTCTCCTCCAACCTTTGAATCTAGGCTTAAACATTAGCAAATGGGAACCAAGCAGACACTGGAAAACATTTGTATTTTGGGCCTTGCCCTCTCTTACTGCGCTGGAACCCTAACACCACTACATATTGAGACTGAGACAGCCTGCGGAGGATAAAAGGCTACACGGAGAAATAAAGCGTTCCAGCCAACTGTCGGAAGATAAAAGCCAACGTGGAGAAATAAAGCATTCCAGCCAACTGCCAGACATGTGAGGGAGGGCATTCTAGATCAGCTGCCAACTGACCCACCAGATGATCACAGACACATGAAAGAGTCCAGAGAGATGGGCTGAGTACCCCCAGCTCTCCCTAAGGTGTCTCTGCGAGGTTGGTGGTACCATTCACAGAAATATGAAAACCGGTAAGGTGCAAGTATAAGAGGAGTTCTATTTTGCATATAAGGAGCCCTGGTGGTGCAATGGTTAAGTGATAGGCTGCTAACCAAAAGGTTGGCAGTTCAAATTCACCAACAGCAACAGGGAAGAAAAGACCTGGCGAACTGCTCCCATAAAGATTACAGCCTAGGAAACCCTATGGGGCAGTTTTACTCTGTCCTATAGGGTCGCTATGAGTTGGAATCAACTTCACGGCAGTGGGTTTTTTTTTTTGTTTGTTTTGTTTTGTTTTTTTGGCTTTAAGTAAAGATTTTAAGCAGGCAAATAGAAACATAAGTCAAGAACTTACAGAAACAGAGATTCGGACTTGAGAGCTAACGAGGATCATCTACACATAGGTAATAGATGACGTCAAGAAAACCATTAGAGTAGATGAGGCCGCTTAGAGTGCAGAGAAGGAAGAGAAGAGACTGAGAACACAACCAAGGAGAAAAAAAGCCAGTGAAAAGAACAGACATTGTTAGGGATGCACAAAAACCTCAGAGAGTGAAATAAAACAATTCAAGAAAAGGAAGAGGATCATCAATAAAAAAAAAGTTACAGAGAAACCAAAAAAGAAGACTGAAATATAAAAATACAGTTTTCACAATGAATGTATGAAGATTAAGAATTTAAATAAAGGAAACCAAATTTAAAGTTCATGCCTGGAGTAACTTGGATAACTTCCTGCTTGAGTTTGTTAACTAGAAATGGCATAAACGCCAGTCAAGAATATAAAATTACATTAGCTCCCTGTCTTAGTTACTCTTCTGAAATAAGAGTTCCTAATAAAGAATAACTTGGTGGAATATTTCATCTTCTAGACATTTAAGATTTTATGTAATAAAAATTAAGGTAGAAGGCAATAGTACTGATATACTCTCCCCAGCCGGGTTTAGTAAGATGACGTCTCCTTATAGGTAATCTTTAAAGAGCAATTCCTTTAAGGATAGTTACAGTTATTTATTAGGCAGTTAGAACCCAAAGTGACTTATATTAGCAATTACATTCTGTTTATATTAAGTGCCTTATGCTATTATATATTTAAAAGAAAAATCAATTCAGGTGAAGGTATTGTATCATAAAGGAATGCTAGACTTGGAATTGAAAATGGTTATAGTCCAGATTATTGCTAACCTTCTGTGACCCAGAGAATAAAGATGTGACCTCAGTATTACCCTGTTCTAACTTTAAAAGCCTCTAAGGTCCAAAAAACAAGTTCCCAAGACATGTAAGGTGATGCCTGATAGAGCCCACTTTACTTCAATAGCTCTCTCTCCCTTTCCCTCCATCCTCACTCTCTCCTTCTCCATTGGCTTTTCCTTTTTGACTCCAAAGACTGCACAGTGCTAAGTGCTATTTGAATCATTGTGCATTTACTCATAAATGAGTTACTTTTAAAGCACGATTACAGGTATTTCCAAAGGAACTATTTGGAAACTTTACTGGCTTATTTGGGTAGAGGGGAGGACTGTGGGTCTTGAGTTAGTAAATTTGATTGCAGTATTTATTTATAGAACTGATTCTCTTACTTTTCTTCTCTGCCTACAACACACCCCCAACCTCTGCCATAACACAAAAATCCCTCTTCAGATGTTAATAAATAGAACCCTGGTTCATCTTCCTTGGAATTCTGAATTATAAGTGATAATATCTGCATATAAAATAGGTTACTAGTACCACTTGCAATCACTTTACTTTCCAAGTCCTGCCTCCTGATACTCATGGATCTTGAACAAAGCCCTCATGAAAGGAAGAGGAAAAGAAAGGCGGATGGAACCATGGACTGCCCATGGTGGGGTGTTTACTTCACACTCTTCTCACTATGTATGCGTAGGCACCTTGGGAGCCTGTCTAAGGTCTCTAATGTCAGCTGAAGGGTCTTGTATCAGATGCTTCAATTCCAAGTGGGGCACTGCTGTGACCACAGATTTAAAGGAAGCTCTCATGTAGTTCCAGTTAGTTTGTGCCTCCTATCACAAAAGGTATTTACCAAAAAGACAACTGTCTCTGTAACAATTTCAATGTAGCCTGTGCAGTTTTTATTATTTTGCCATTGAAAATGAGTAATATATGGAAAAGTTACATAAGAGATTGACACTTAACCTATTCTGGTTTTAAGACTTGGTCTTCTGACCCTAATACAGTGTCAGTAGTAAATTAGGTAGTATAACAGTAGAGAAGATATATATTTGTAAAGCCATAATTTAGAAACGTGGAATTGTGCTATTGTGTTTTTTAAAAAATAATTGGGAAGTTTTCACAAAACAATACAGTAGATACTAAATTTTATCTAGGGTTTACTAGAAAAATTCAAGTTAGCAATAGTGGGAATATTCTGATTATGAAAATAAAGCTTATCCTTATTTGTTTTAAATATTACCCTGTATTTGTTTTTAAACTTTGTTTTAAAAAAATTTTAACCACACAATCAAATGTCTTAAGTTGCTCATGAATATATAAAAAATAATTTATTAGCTGTTAATAATCTCTTAGTCATTTAAATTGCTGTAGTTTTAAAATTTTCAAAGCACTTTTATGTACACACCTCTTTTGAACACCTACCTGAGAACTGTATTAAAAAGGAGAAAATAAAAATCTTAGAATTTCAAATAAATCAAAACTTCTACAGCTCTTTATTGGCAAGTTTCAAGATTCAGCTCTGTTGGATGCTGCATAATTAGAAGGCACTTAATGTCAACAAAATCTAACTGCTAACCATATTTATAAGTCAGCTTAGTTTAGGTTCTAACTGCCTAATAAATAACTATTAACTATTCTTATGTAAAGGATATGCTCGTTAATGGTGGAGGGGGCAGGAAAGTATATTATACCTAGGGGAGACAATGTCGCCTTTACACTGACTATAAAAACAGTAGAAAGAGGCTAAAGGTTCTTTGTACTCACCCCCTTATGAAATTAAATCCATGTGCACAGACCAAAAGGTTTCCATAAGCATCAACTTTCAAAAGATTTCCATACAGTGTGTCAAAGACAAGTCCCCTAAGTGAAAATGAAGAAATCCTTGATAAAGCAAATTAATAGAGGCAATAATTTCACATAGTACTTACTACTCTGCTCCACCACCATGAACCAACCTCATCTAGTTCAAACTTTGTAGCAACTCAAGTATGCCTCAGAACAATACCTTAGGGGCTAAAGCACGTGAATAAAATCTTAAAAATTAATCCCAGAGGAAATGAAAAAGATTTACTCTGTCCAGATAAATCATCATAACTGTTTTCAGTAAGGTATGAGACCTTAATCAAACAAGGTATAAAGTATAATTTCTCTTAATACAGTTGGTACCATTCAAAAACATTTTTTTTAATTTTCTTGGACAATTTAGCAGGCTTATAATTCCATCTACTGGATGATGTATATGAGGAATACATGATGGCATCTAAAATAAGCATCATCTTAATCTCGAATCTTCCCAATCAAATCCAGAGATGCAAACTGCCAAGAAGGCTAAGTGTACACAAGTTAAGTGTATTAGCAAAGCAAGTAACTTCTCTCCAACAGCCAAAGGTAGGAGCAACTGTGATTACTGCCCATCAGTTTTAATGATCCCTTTTCTTTCCACATAAGTAGGTCTTCTACAGTAGCAATAAGCTAAGCTAAATTCAAGAACACAAAAGATATGGGGTGCATTAAAAAGTTCACGGTAATTTCAGGACCAACACCAACCCCCCCAAATAAACAAAAAGCCTTTGGATTTTTTTTTGGGGGGGGGAGGGGGGTTCAGGGATGAATATGGAATTATTAATTTTAGGGGTAGTGGGAGAAGCCTTAGTCCAAAAATATCTTGAAAAATTACCTGGTAGGAAATGTAGAATCATAAGCAAAGCCGAGCAGCTCCTGGGGATAGCCAATAGAAACTAATCTCTCCACAGTGAGCTCAAATCCGAGAGACTCATACTCCGGGGACTTGTATACTGCATAAAGAGGAGGTTCTCATTAGTCAGCATAAAAGAAGGGCAATTAAAATAGAAGGCAAATGAGTAAGTTCTTACTCTCCCAATTCCCCTCTCCTCCTAAATTTGCCATTTTTCTTCTTCCCCCTCAAGCTCATGTTCTGTACTGCCCGAGTAATTAGAGAACTTCATTGTTTGACTGTGAAGATAGGTCATGTATTAGAGCAGGAACAGCAGCAACAAGATGAATTATCAAACACTTCAGAATAGTTCCTTCATTCTTAGGAAATCTATTCCAAAAATGTTTTTCCTTTAAATACTCTTCATTTGCACAATTTAAAGGCAGAAAAAAAACTAATATAAACAGTTGTGATATTAACATGAGAATATATGTAAACAGAAAACTAGGTAAGAGAAGTCTATATATATTGAACACTCCACTGATGTGTGTAACTGGTATAAGAATCCTTCAAAATCAGCTTTTTTTTTTTTTTAACAGTCTAATTTCTTTTTGGAACTGCTATTTGGCTTTGGTAGTTACTTTATACTCATTCTTCAATAAGCATATTTAATTGTACATCAGGACTAACTTGTTTTTTTTATCAGCCCTAACAATGTTATAAGTCATCAAAATTGTATGTTAAAGGTTACTGTTGCAAATCAAAGTTACTGTTGCAAATCAACCATAAAAAGACATGTCTGAGACATCTAGGAAAATGTGGATGTGAACTGGGAATCAAGACATCTAAAGAATTATGACTCATTAGATTATGGCCTGGTAGGTATGTGTGCAAGTGTATGTATAAAATATGTATCTCTCTCTTTATCTAGTCAATTCAGCATACCAAGGCAGTTACAGGGATATTGGGGGTGGGGGTTCACTTTACTATTTTTTCTATTATATGTCTGAAATTTTCCATAATGAAAAACTTTTTAGTTATCCCACCAGTTCAACATTTAAAAAAAAAAAAAAAAAAAAAGTTGTTCCTCTAAATAGGTTTCCTCCAAATGAAATATTTAGGTAAGAATCCTTCCGAGTCCCTAGGAATGGTAAACCATATTAAAATAATAATAATAAAAAGACCTATCAGCTTGCTAAGTGCCAAATGAAGCAGAAACATCCATTCTATTCTTGTAATCTTATAATAATAAACTATTATATTATTATAGTTCTTCTGTTTACTATTAGCATCATTTAGCCTATGGTTCAAACTGATTTTTCAGTGTAATTAGTTTGTGCATCCAAGTTAGTGCTAATATTTCAGTAAGTTTCAACTTTCCCTTCCAAAAGCACTGCCTTAGAATATTTCCAGAAATACATAAAAGAAGCCAGTAATACTGGCTGCCTCCAAAGACAGGAACTGCGTGGTAAGAGACGGGAAGGAAAGAGACTTTCATGTACCTCCTATACCTTTAAAGTTTATAAAATGTGAATGTATTTATCTATTTTTAAGAATTAAATTGAATTTTTTTTTAAAGCATGCTGGGCTTTCAAAATCCTTTAATAAACATTTGCCATATTTAAAAAAATAGAAGCTTAAAATTGTTAAGGTTCTTTAGGAGTTGCTGAGTCTCACCTCATCAGAACAATGTCAGAAGCTGTCTTCAATTCTTTTGTTGTCTCGGGGTAATAATAATTTAACATTAACGCTAACCCCAGCTAACATTTTCAAATCTGGCTGTATTTTTTTTCCTTCCCTCAGCTCCCACCTCATCTTCTCCTCACCTCCCCCCAACCAAAAAAAAAAAGCTTTTTGGAACCTTAAGTGTGAAATTCCTAAATCTAGGCATACAATGGTAAAGAAAATGTTACATACTCATATACACTATCAGAGTCAAAGCTGGTGTATTATCATAAAAGCATGGTGCCCACTGACGTAAATTTGAGTTATCTTTTTAAAAAAATAACATCTCTCACCACTCCACCCCACCACCCTACTCCCACATCAATTGCAAGTAAATCTCATTTTAACAAAATTTCCATAAAACAAAAATTATTTCTCAGTGCTAACCAAAGCCCTACTTATTTCAAACAATATTTAATGGAACAAAATTACAGCATGGCTAAGTAATCTGGATACCAATTGACTTCATTTTTATAGGATTTGGCCCACATGAAATATTTTCAATTACTAACTTTTCAGAAGGATAAGAATGGGGGACAAAAAACACACCTTAAACACTCTTACCCGTCTTATCCTCTAAACCAGCAATTTTCCCTAGTTTAGAGAACCAGGTAATTACAGAGTGATGGAGTAATTAGTGATTAAAACCTATGTCTATGAGACAATTTGTAATGAAAACCAAAGTAATTTATTCAGAATTTTTAGCAAAAAAAAAAAAAAAAATACAGGGGAAAAAAAATCTCAAATCCCCATTTGTCAGCACAAATCCTAGAAGAGGAGAAAATAAAACACTACATACTTTCCACATTGTGTGGAAAGGGCAGAACTTCCCAAGTGTTGACTGGTGTGAATTTCTAGAAATTTCTATAAGAAACAAATGCCTTAAGCTTCCTTTTTCTCAATGAGTTCAGGGTACTTCCCCAAAATACCATGTATTTTCCCCACCTGCTGACCTGAATTTAGAGAGCAAGTACATACATCCATCACCTGAAGCCAGAATTTAGGTCTCCCCGAGTCTCGTCCACAGCTCTTTGTGGTGGGGTATACTACTGCTAAAAATTTCTAGATTACATAGGCCATCAAAACTTAGGATTGGGAGGTGAAACACACTACTCTCCCTCCAATTTCTTTTAGCTAGTTCAAATAAACTGCACTAGTCACAAGTCGGAATGGATTTAGCCGAGTCCAAGTTCCACTTTGACAACACTGTCTATTACACCAAACTCTGTGTTAACAAGTGAGACCTACAAGCTACTGACATTTTCTCATAAGCTTCCTGGATACTCATTTCAGTAACACAAACTCTAGGTCACTAAATCACCTGCTAGAGAACTATACAGTATAACCAGGGCTGAGATGCAGAATCACAGCTGTACAGAGAGCACGGGTTTGGTATTTTATTCTAAGTGTTCCTTGGGAATAATCACAATTTGTTCTGACATGGTGGCAAAGATGACTATTCCTGAACCTTATGAAGTACCGCCATTCCTGAAAGAACTTACATAAGAAATAAAAAGCAAAATTCTTCTCATATCAACCAGGCCCTTCAAAGCCAACTTCAGGCACCTGTAGGGAACCATATGTATCACCTCAGACTGTAGAGCTCTATGCCTCTCCACAGCTGCAAAGGCTCCAATTTCAATTCCTCTCAGCAAAACTGTGGCAAGTAAGTGATGCACAGCTTCAAGCTCAACACTTACAAATGACTTTCTGTGGTTCGAAAAACCAGCCAACAGTTTCAGAGTAAACATCACTATCACACATTCACTGCTTATTTCTTCTTTGAGTAAGTCCTCAGGCCTATCCCAATTTACCCAATATCCACAAAAGAAGTTATTTTAACGGCCAGAGTCCAAAAAAGAGGACTGCTTCAGCCACTAGGGCAGCACACAGTGTTCTCAGGTTACGTAACTAGACTCTAAAGAGAACAACCAAGGCTTTGAAAGCTAAAGCTACTGAGAGCACTTAAAGATACCCTTTTCTCCGTCATCTGCAAGGAAAAAACAGCTCTTCAAAAAGTAACAACTGAGTGTTGTGGGGATGTTTTGAGTACAGCATGCTGTTCAGATAAGATAGGACTTATGTTAGAGGAGAAAGTCCCTTTGGAATGAACGGAAAAACTTTCCACAGGAAGTTTGGAACTCTTATGCACTTTTTACCTTTGCCACCAAGACACACTGTGTAGCAGTTTATAGATTTCCAAAAAAGAAAGTGCAAGCCTCCACAGAGGTCCCAGCCTAGCAGAGTGCTGCTGCCAAAATGAGGACTCACACGAGGCAGACGCAGGTGCAGAGTGTGTCACTCCAGTCTTGAAGGAGTTACACTGGCTTTCCTGTTAAAAAAACAAAAAACAAAGCAACAAAACAAAAACAAAGGCTGGTTTTAAAACTGTTGTGATGGACTGGAACAGAGACACCATTTGGAAATTGGTATTTACAGGAGTTACTGCCCTCCTATTTAGAAGTCTCTGACCAGCACTACAGTTAGCCTAACTGGCCATAACAAAACAAGAGTATTAAAGATAAGCCTAAGTATTGTGTCTTATTTACTTTTCTGGCACCCTGAGTCTGGAATACAAGCCAAATCTGATCCTGAAATGTTAAGTCAAAAGACAAATGGAAAATAAACCTAATTTGTCCTAGTTTGTTTTCTCAGGCATATTTCAGGTTTTTATATGATAGAAATTGAATGCAGCTGGTAAACAGCGTTTAAAATTGAACTATAGCTAGTGAAACCAACTAAAGGATATAGGAATAAACCAGAGCAGTCTTCTCTTGCTTTTATGTAAGCAGAGTTACAATATTCTACTTCATAAAGTTAAAGACACTACCTAGTCTAGTAAGAGAACGGAGTCGGAGATAGATGCACCCTCTGGCTGTACTACTGACAACTGTAAGATATGCATAGTGTATTAATGTTGTAGGAAGTCATTTTCCCCAGACATATTTGGGTTTCTGAAAACACACAGCTGGACTCCTCCAACTCCTGGATTTTTTGTGAAAAGGAGATGGTGCTTAATAGAAGAGTGGAAATGATCAAATGTAATGTCTAAAAAGTCCTAAAAGCATTATAACTAGGAAAAACCATCCCACAAACGATCACTAAAGAAAAACAAAAATCCAAGCAAACCACCCAAGAATAGTCATTTGCTTTTATGCTGCAAATGTGATCAATATCAAAGTTTCTACCTGTATGATTATTAGGCTACACGGTGTTGGTTCTCAGGGATTTAAGATAAACTAAACGCAAGTTAGGAAAAGTAATAATTTACATTTTTTATTAAAAATTTTAATAAAATCTTTCAAATGTTGATAGATACCAGAGGACTTTTTCCACTTTTCAAAACTACTAAAAATGCTAATACAATACACAGACATAGGCAATAATTTTATCTCT